ATTGTCAGATATAATTCTTTTTTATCTGCAACAGAAATTTTTCCTTTTCTGAAAAATTCGAGGAACAGAATTACATGACGAGAGAAATTGGAAAAAAAAAAAAAAAATTCAAACTGTTCTTTACATTAAATTATTTTTTTCTTATGCGTTAAACAGATTGTATGTATTTGAAGTAATTTCGCATTAGTCATCAGTTTATGTTCTTTGTTACCAAAGAAAAATCACAGATTTCAGAAGAATTCAGTTCTTAATTTATTATAATTTATTTTAATCTTAAGTCGCACAGATCTTTAAATAAAAATAATTGATTGAGCTGAATTTGAACCTCGCGGTTTGTCACCGAGATGTTTCGGAAATAATTTACGATTCTACACAACGGATAATTTTGAGGGGGGGGGGGACACACACACACAACACACACACACACACACAATTTTACGTAAATTCATGTACATTACAGACTATACTGGATTCATAATAACCAAAATCCATCTAGTTCGTTAACTTTAAATTGAACTCCCAATACCAAATTTAATTGAAATTCGTTACATGTTTTATGTTCTTTGTTACCAAAGAAAAATCACAGATTTCAGAAGAATTCAGTTCTTAATTTATTATAATTTATTTTAATCTTAAGTCGCACAGATCTTTAAATAAAAATAATTGATTGAGCTGAATTTGAACCTCGCGGTTTGTCACCGAGATGTTTCGGAAATAATTTACGATTCTACACAACGGATAATTTTGAGGGGGGGGGGGACACACACACACAATTTTACGTAGCTTCATGTACATTACAGACTATACTGGATTCATAATAACCAAAATCCATCTAGTTCGTTAAATTTAAATTGAACTCCCAATACCAAATTTAATTGAAATTCGTTACATGGACTAACGTGTAGTCTCCCCTATTTCATGTACTGTGAGCAAAGAACATGTAATTATTTCAGTTCTACCAACTTTCAACTGTGATTTTTAAAGTTACAGAGGCCACAGTGAACTGTCTTCGTATTAAACGAAATATTTCATTACACAGGAATTGAATCAAGGACCCTGATAATAATTCAGGCTAAGATTATGAGCCCGCCTGCCTCGTAATTCCATTTCCCCCTCGGACTTGTGGCGAGTTAGATTTACAGTTGCCACGAATTCGCATCCAACAGAGACGCTGTGCGCTAATGGCAGTAATACGTTCTGGCTCGTACATCGTATTCGGTACCATTTATACAGTCTCACAACAACGGAATTAAACGCTTACTAAATTAAATATCCACAATAATACAGTCTTCATTACGCCAAGTGTCGCTTTTTAAGAGAAATGAAGTTTACAGACAAACCAGACTGAAGGAAATACACGTAAAACCTCAAACCACTTTCAGATACGAAGGTGAGGATTTCTCCGTGTAGTCTGATAAAATCTGACCGAAGTTTCAGAGGCACTTACTGCCTTCATCATCAGGGTAATGGGATGAGATCAGTGTGAGGTGTAGATGGCAGGATAATATTAAAATATAGCCGGCGTATCTCAGTCAGTATAGTGACTGGACAACAGGGGTTCGATCCCCGACGGGGGGGAGTTTTTATCTGACCTCTGCGTCCAGACCGGTTCTGGAACGCACTCAGCCTCCTGTCCAATGGGTACAGAGATTCTTTCCCGGGGGTTAAGTGCGGCCGGGGCGTGACGCTGATCACTCACGCTCCATCTAGTGACGAGGTTAAGAATGAGTAGGAGCTGTACCCACCTCTCCCCCCAAGTGCCTGCATGGAGTATAGTGGGACAGATTTTTATAGATATAAATAGGGTCTGAGGGTGTGGGCTGGATTCAACTGGCTGAAGATAAACTCCATAAGTTTCTGATGATCTGAGCTTGCTATTAGCGTCTGAAGAAAGCATTTGCTTCGTGCAATGAGAAATGCGTGTTAAGGATTTAAACTGTTCAGACTGGCAGAACCTTGCCGACGTTTCAGAGGCACTTGCAGCCTCAATCATCAGTGTGTTAAGACATTAAACTTCTGACATCACCGAAACGTCGCCAAACTTCTAACAGATTTTACGAAGCAGTGTGCGAGATGACAGTATCTTAATATTGTTAGAGTAGTAAAATTTTGGAAGATTACGTCGGATTGAATACGGGTGGAAAATTTAGGAAAGCGAAAATCTACAAAAGTAGTCACTGAAAAACGGTAGACCAGTTCTTTTTATAATAAATAAAGAGGTTACAAGGATGGGGTAGACACATGGAACTAGATTTGGTACTGGCGATGTTGAAACTACAGTATCTACCTCCAGAGATCTAGTTAGTTAGTTAGTTAGTTAGTTAGTTTGTTTCTGCCTGCTACGTAGTTCGACAGTCGGCGGGTAAATAGTTTTGAAGTAAAGCCACCAGACGAACAAGTTTCCTGTAGTCTATGTCAGGACGTCTTGTCCTAGCCATGGAATCTACAGAAAAGGGAACAAGTTCCAATTCACACTGAGACTCCAGGCAGGAGAAAGGGGGTACTGGCTCTTGTTTAAATATTAAGTGAACGCCGTGTGGGGGGGGGGGGGGGGGGGGTGGAAGTTTCGAGATTGCCCTGGCTGCAGGATCCAATACCCTGCGCGACGTGGTTATGCCTCGCGCTGTTTCCTTCTGCTGTTTTTTTTTTTTAACACAGACCACCTGATGTCCACATATGACGTGGCTGCAATAGCGATTCAAGTCGCTCTGCACTTGAAGGAGAATTTATACAGTACAGGTCACGTCTATATCATAAAACTACGTATGTTGTTTTGTACGGGTGTAAAACTTGGTGTCACACATTAAGGGAAAAGTATGACTGAGGATAACGATGGATGTCTTAAAGGTTGTTGCACAGCGTAGTATGGTAGAATTTCATTTGAATGTTTCATCCTTTTCGTTTCAGTCTATTTAATAGCCATAAGCAATATAATATTCCATAGAATTCCATTATATAAATGTCTTCTCTCTGTTTCGGTGCAAATATTCCCCCCCCCCCCCAGAGCCCTTTACTCAAACACTCTCAATATATGTTAGTCAGAACAAGGCGTTACACCCGTAACAGACTACTTCAATACTTCAGATATTTCAAATACCATTTTGAAAGCAACTTATGTTCACCGAAATTCAAATAAAACTATGCCATCTTGTATTACGTAATCTATCTTATGATTTAAAAGATGTCGAAAGGCACTCGGTAATTTATTTATAACAGGAATACAGGCGTGATTTCTGGAAGTAATCTGTTACATCGGAATTCACACTGAACACACATTTTACGTTTCAGCAAAAAATTTATCAGGCCTCATAACCGACTTGCTAATAACTGAACTGTATTTTCTGAGACAAGCTTGCGTGATATCAGATAAAGTATATTCAATAAATGGCAAGATTAATGAGGGACTATAAATGCAAAATGACGAATACAGAAAATAGTTCCATGTGTAGGAATTCTCCAGTCCGGGCGACACCATTCGACTCTTGTTTGTAATAAAATCCAGTTCATCTGGTCAGTCCACTGAGACTCAAGAGAGTTACATCCTCATGGTTCCGAAATAAACCCGCCGACATACGGAAACGCGGATAGCGAAAGGTCAACTGTTCCTTACTCAATGATCAATTACTGTCGGGGTTTTACTTCAAACCTCTTCATTTTTAATTTGCATTGTGGTGTCTAAACCTAATCTTCATACTGTTATTGTAAGATGTTCCTAATATACTTTTCTACCATTATCGTCTATAGTTTATTTCGATAAACAAAGCCAAAATCCCTCCTTGCAGCAAAAACGCCATTCCGTTGTTCCAAAAACACTATCAATCTTAAAAATAAAAACAGGCAAATACAGCGGGAGCTTCGTGGAGGAGAGACGAGTTCATAAATAATTTACCACGTAACTTAGTAGTTTTTTTCTGTACCTAGTCAGAGGACGGAACACGTGGATGGGGATTGGTCATTTGAACCCAAGGGCGCTGGACAGTAACCATCTGCGTCATGTTTGAAGACGAGACGCTGTGAGATCCGAGTAGCTTAATTGACTAGAAACACGCTGAAATTATTCCCGAACCAAAGAAAGACTTTAAAACGCAGACGACACCCGGTCTCTTGGGTTCTGTGGTTCCCGCTCAAGATGTCGGTAATCTTTTCTCGGTGCTATGCTGTCTCTCGCGAGAGACCGATCTCCCATCCAAGGAGCCCTACCAAATGTCGAGGAGAACGGTGCAGAAACTTTAAAAAGAGACGGTATATATTTATCAAACCGTATTTCATAACTAATCAGAGAGGGTTCACAATTTATATCCAATGCTTCTTAGGCAAATTCAATGACACTGGTAGCAAAGTGATTCGAGACTGTCTGTACACCGAACACACACACACACACAAAAAAAAATCCAATTACAGAACAGTCCACATTCACCAAAAATTCATCAACTGTGAAATGTCAACAGGTAGCTATTGAAGACACTTTTTATGTAATTCAGCGAATCAATCGGAATATATAACAAAATAGTAAAATAAAGTGTGTTTCAACCTAGCCTAACGTAACGAAACCAATATTAAGCCACATACGAAGAAGAGAGAGTGCTTTAAAGAGTGCGGTATTTGGTCCCAATGCAGATGAAGTGACAGGAGTCTGGAGGAAACTGCATAATGAGAGGTTCCACAATTTGCATTCTTCACTAGATATTATTACGATGATGAAATAAAGACATATGAGAGGAAAATGCATGTAACATGCACAGAAGAGATGAGAAATGTATAAAAAAACTTACGTTATAAACCCTCAGTTTTAATATCAATGTGATAGGCATTAGGATATTATTAAAATGGATCTTAAATTAATTGGGTGGAATTGTGTTAGATGTATTTATGTGGTTCAGGGCTCGTTAACAAACGGTGAACCTTGGGCGGGGAATTCGCTAGCTACCAATTTACCAAGAAGACCTGTGCCACAGGGTGTTACATTGGTCCTCATGAAACACGTGTTGTTGCGTGTCCAGGGTGACCTGTTCAGTGGGTTGAACGACGGACTGCTAAGCCGTGCTGAGGCCCTAGCAGCAGTCGACATCGGCAAGCACCAAGCCAGTTCCACGCCGGGTCTTCCCCAACTCAAACACGACATGATGTATCACCACAGCATGGGGGCACCACACCCCGGAGCACCGAACACCCGGCCACACCAGGTAACAGCAACGCGAATCTTGACAGACTCTTATTGCGCAGTCTTCCTTCGAAACATTTCATTTTTACTAAATTCTGTGGATTGTTCCTGCACATTTTGTCATCTGTATCTTTTCACACTGTCTGATAATTATAGTTTACTCAGTAGGGTGTTTATCGCTACGGTGGCCTTGTAATCCTGGGGTCCCGGGTTCGATTCCCGGCGGTGCCCGAATTTATAACTTGTGTTGGGCAAGGCCGTGGTCTAGGCAACACGGAGTTTTCCTCCGTGGCATCCCAACAATTACTCCATTCACACACAGAAGAAGGCAATGGCAAACCACTTCTGGATCATCTGCCAAGAACGTATATGAACAGGGCCCAGTCCGAGAAAAAGAGGGAAGGATCCTGTTCATATGGACCGGTCGTCAGACAGAACACTAAATAAAAAAAAAATTACAAGTGGCGCTATTATCGGTGCCAGAATATTGCAGGAAATTTCTAAAGTGCACCATCTTACTCATGGGTTCTTGGGGTTAAGCGTCTCTGCCTACACAGGGCCGCTTAACACAGAAACACGAGAACAAACATCATGAGTGGGATTCAGAGACTCTAAATAATAACTGTGATGGTACGTAATGTACAGTCCAGGATTTCCCTACTTATTCTCCCGCGGAATGAACGCTGGATTTCCACGAGCTGTATGGAGCTTTCCATCACTGAAATCTAGCAAGAAGTCTTTTCCAAATTCACAGTTTCATTACTGTTATTGTTGCATACAGAATTATGGTGGGAAATCATTCTGGAAGGCGCCCACTGGTTAGACCAAGGAGTAGATGGCAGAATAATATCGAGATGTATCTTAGGGAGATAGGATGTGAGGATGGTAAATGGATGGAGTTGGCTCAGAATCTTGGCCGATGGCGGTCTTTGGTATTGTCGGTGTTGGACCTGAGGGTTCAGCTACCAGGGAGTTAGCTATTTCTTCTTATTATTCACAGGTTTTCCTGGAACTTTCCTTACGATGTGTTATGTTCCTGGTATGGCTGTTTTTTTTTGTAGCATTCTTGGAATTGTTCCCATACATTTTTCCATAGTCTTTTAGTTACAATTCCTGTGGGTCCCGTACAACATAACATTTCATGTTTCACATTCACTAAATTTGTATACTACTAACATTTTTGTATTTCAATTTCTTTTCGGGCCCCTTCTGTATTACATTCCCGGCCAATGATTTCGCTGCATCTATCAGTAAGCAAATGTTATTTTTCTTATTTTTAAAAACTATGTCAGGTATGTTTGCCGGAATCTGTCTACATTTCTGAATTCCATGATTTCGCAGTACTGTTGTATGTTCACGTTTTTATTATTATTATTATTATTATCATCATCAGTACGTGCTGAGACGCGCTGACCATAACACAATGTGGCACTGTGATAACACTGTTCGTAATTCCAAATTTTGAAATAAAACTCGAATTTTCATGGTTTTCAAAATCACATGCATGTATTTCGCGAACCCTTGGCACCCAACGCAACATCGCATTTCAGACGGACAGAAGACGGTGTCATAACGCAACAGTCTGTCGTTTCGCGTGTGTCACGTGTTTCGCATAGAGGGTAAATATTTCCTTCACTTTTCAACCCCCATCCCCTGGCCTGTAACGAGGTAATCGACAGTCTCCCCTCTCCGTAACATTGATGTGTATGGTACACATGATTCACCGAGGTTTCCCAGAGGCCAGATATTTCATCATTACAGCACCCCAGCGCAGAACATTGCATTGCATCGCTCTAAAGTGGTCATTTGAAGGATGGAATAGAACAATTTTGGGCAGCAAATGGATAAGCATGAAGCCGTCCCTGGGTTCATTTGTCTCATGTGGAAACGAGAAGGAATGTTTCCCAGAGGGGAATAATTTCTACAACTACAAAACCCTACTACTGCTTTTCTGTTCAGGACGCTGACAGTGTACATACATGTAAATCCCACCCTAAAATCTACTTCAAATGTCGTACGTGTTTAACCCCTTGATTAGTAAAGTTTCTAGTCACCTGGAATATTGTGTAAGAGACGAAACCTTGTAATACCAAGGCATACACGTGAGTGGTACATGAACGTAAAACAAATATAACAAACCTGACTGACGATTATGCCTAGTGGTGAGTTTTATAGAGTAAATGCGAAGTTCGGGTTCTGAAGTATATCTTGAGCACCAAGAAAATGTCGCCCTTAATTTGCAATGAATTTAAATCGAACTTTTATCAAATTTATCATCACGGCTCCAGAACACAAAATATTAGATGTTATTAAAATCTACAACGCGAGTTCTCAACTGGGAACACAAATACGTAATTTATAAGACCCGCGTATGTTTTTGCTACAAAGCTGAGTTATTATTATTATTATTAAGTGTTCTGTCTTACGACAGGTCCATTGCTCTGCCCAAAAAGAGCTCTCCAGTTGTCCCTATTCTCGGCTTCTCGCTTTAATTCCTGGAACGTCATCTTCTTTCCTTGTTTAAGGTCGTCGGTTAGCTGTATCAAAGCTGATTATCAACCCATAAAATAAAATTACAGATGCAATCTAAGCTAAATTCTTAATTTTACGCGAATTGTTAATAAAAACAAGAAATCAACAAATCTATTTAAAACTTGTGACGTAGGCCTATGTTTTACGAGTCACTCAAAATAAGCCGTGACTTTAATTACCGCATCATCACGTCGTCCCATTTGAAGATAAACAGTGCGATAAACAGTTAACTGGATGGTTTCGATGGCACAGATATTTTATTCCTCACGAAACCAGAAGCTTCGTCAACTTGCTCATAAGGTGCTGTTCATCTGGGTTTTGGCGCCATCGAGGTAGACCTGAAGAGGGTGGCTGTATGTTCCTCCGAAACGTTGGCATGTGCACGACGCCGAAACCCGAAAGGACGTCATCGTCACAATCACCGCCGTTAAAATATGAAATCCCATACAGGTCATAGGAGCTCCGCACTGAACACTAACCACATTTAATTCAGTGGAATTCAAATTTTCGTGATTTTTAACATTTATTATTCTTCTTTCCCAACTCCCATTTTTACCTTTATGGCGTCGGGGTTGATTGATCGGTCCACCTCCTCCATTCCTTCTTATCCCTCGCTAAGAATTTCATCTACGTTAAACTTTTCCCCTTTGACTGTCCTATTTCTCTAATAGTATCCAAACAGCTCTTTCTAGGCCTTCCTCTTGTTCTGGTACCCTCGACTCTACCTTCCAGAAACTGTTTCTTCTTTCTTTCGAACAACATGTCCAAACCATTTTTAACGCAAAGCGCCGGCCTCCAATCTTAACGCTCTCCACATGTGAACTGTGCAGTTACTGTTGCAGATGGCCCATCATGGCATGGACGGTCTGGACATGTTGGACCCTATATCCACGTCCTCCATGACCACCCTGGCTCCTATGTCGGACGGTTCAGGAGGTGGCCACGGTGGACATCACCCCCAGCTCCACGGGCCCTCAGTGTACGGACAGGCAGCCATGAACAGCATGATGTCCAGCCACCACCATCACCATCACCACGGGGGACCTCTGTCAGGGCACGGACCCCCGGGGCACCACGGTCCTCACCACCACCCCGCACACCCCG